CACACACACACACACACACACACACACACACACACACACACACACACATGCAGCTCTGGACCCATTTTCACTGTGGAAACACACACTTCAGCCTCCTCTGCCTTGACAAAGCAGCGAGCTGTGAAACGTCGGATCWTACACAGCCACTTGRCTCTTAATGATGCATTTCTCCTCATGACAGACCTTCTCACAATGTTATGACCGCAAAACGTTCAAGCCATATGGGATTATTAAGATAGAGGCTCACTTATCTAAAGGTGGCTCTTTGACTTCCAGAGCTGATAAGGTGTGCTCTGTCTGAATTACAGAGTATTGTGTGAAYAGTATATGATTGAATTTCTCTTCAGGAGCAGCACAAAATGACTGTGGGGATGTTAAGGTTTTTTTTTCTCAAGTGAATAATGTCTACAACTGTCTTATCTTAACTTTAAAGTGTCTTAAACGAAATGCAGTAGAAGATGCTACATCTTTWACAAAGCAATGATTTTATGATGAATTAATGATGAGTCAGTCTGCCTCTAATGGTTTTATTGGCAGATTCTGAAAATATATCTAAAATGACTTAATTATTCCAATTTGGCTCTGAGCCTGTAAAAAACAAACGGGTGCCTCAGTTTTTCTATGGAAACAGTGTAGACATTCCTGTGGCAGTTGCCCTGGTCTACCTCAGGAACCATTTACAGTAAAACCCCAAGAGGAGAGCATAAAGATTGCCAACACAACTTAACTGAATTCTGGTGATGGGTCAAAAAAATGTGACCAAGGACTTGTCTGGAACAAAATGAACCACTGATGAGGTCATGCGGATGATGATCACTTCAGTTTATTGTCACAAGRTTTCCACAAACTTTTTATTGAAGCGTGGATTGACACACTGCTTTTGTTTTCTATCTGTTTTAATCTCTTTAATTTTAACCGCAGTTCCAAAAAAGTTGAGACGTTGCAAAAAATATAAACAGAATGTAATGATTTGCAAACGTTATTTTGTCAACAGTGGAACATAATACCAGCTGATGGAGGGTTTGGGGGGGAGTAATGGCGGCACAGTGATGCAGTTCGTAGAGCTGGCACCTCTCAGCAAAATGTTTGCTGGATCAAATCCCRGCTGGGRATCTTTCTGGGTAGAGTTTGTACGTTCTTTCTGTATGCATGGGTTTCTTCTGGGTACTCCAGTTCCCACAGAGCTTTTAGACTAACTGGTAACTCTTAATTGTCCCTAGGTGTAACTGAGAGTATGAATGGTCSTTTGTTTCTATGTGACCTGTCCAGGGTGTACTGCGGGACATAGGCACCAGTGACCCAGACWTGAAGAAGCTGGTAAATAATGACTGGATGTTGTTSCTTTCTTGTCTTATGTAGGATTTTAGATGTTCAACARTCCTRGCTTATTGTTGCTGGATTTTTTGTTTTATGGTGCGTCAAATGTTTTCAGTTGGTAAGAGGTCTGGACTGCAGWTGGGCCTGTTCAGTACTTTGACTCTTCTACAGTGAAGGCATGCTGTTGTAACGGATGCAACATGTGGTTTAGCATTGTTTTGCTGAATTAAGCAAGACGTACATTTCAAMCCCATTGGACATTTACCTGCATCTTGACCCTTAATAATCTGTAATTTTCACAAAAATTAGTKGKAGGRATTTGYGGGACAAGTGGACTTTTGGGACAATCGATACAAGTTCACATGTGTGCAAGACCTTCCCTGAAAAGGATWGAAGTGTATGTTGTTATGAATCATATATACTTTTCTGCATTAATGGTACTTTTCCAGGTGTGTAAGCTGCCCATGTCAAAGGCACCAACCTCTCCTCTATAGGGCAGGGTTGTGTCCATGATTTAAAAGATCCATCCATTATCTACACCCGTTTCTTCCTTCCAGCRTCAYRGGGGTCACTGGTGCCCAAATCCAGCAGTCACACTGCAAGGGGAGGGGTACACCCTGGACAGGTCCATCACAGGGACAGATCACAAGTTCATCACAGATTTTAAAATAGAATTTTGAATTTCAATTTATCTGACCACACAACAATTTTCCACTTAGCTTCAGTCCATTAAAAATAAAAATAAAGCATTGACCCCAGAGAAGATGAGCTTTTTCTGTACTCACTCCTCTTACTGAGGTGTTGCCAAACCTAATGAGTTGTAAAATGGTTCTCCATCTGTTTGTTTATTCAACCTTTCTTTTAGCGTCTTTCAGAAGGTCTGCAAATCATTGAAACGTCCTTATAATTCATGCAACGTCTCAACATTTTGGACTTTGGGTTGAGACGTAAAAAAGCAGTGGTATAATGTACACCATATCTTGTTATTCACTTGAGTTTGTATTTACAAAACACTTTGTGCGAACAAGGTAATTTTATTAAAATCTGTACTTTAAATGTAAACAACAGGTACTCCAAAAACATTTGCTGAATACAACTCCTTAAGCAGGACCCAGGATCATGTGGTTTAGCATTAAAGCTAAGCTGATGATTTTATTTGACTTAAGGTCTGAAAAATTCCCTCAAATGACTTGATTTTCAGCTGGTAGCAAAGAACCACAATCAGCACTCAGAGGATTTACTGCTGATAATATAATCACAGGGATGGTTAGGACTGTGGCTACGAGCTGCATATATATCTCCACTGTGACMAAGTACTGTGGTGAGGATTCAAGTGCGTTCCAAACATAGCAGCACCTCATGTTGTGCTGCCTCTGACCAGGGGTGTGGGGGACAGACACCATAGTGAATTATTGTAATCATCTGGCTGATCTACGTATGTTTGAGGTCTAAATGATAAAATTTATATCTCCATAATTACATACAGAATGAACATACGGCCTTKGYGGAGGTTTGCGCTCTCCGAGTGCTTCTAGTTATTTTATTGAACATGTGTAAAGTTAGAAATGCCACACCACCAGAAGGTCTGTGCACCTGCTTCACTTCATTCATCAGCAGTAATACTTCATGTAGTTCATGAGTAAGTGGTGCCTAACATGACTGGATAAGAGGCAGTGAGCAGTCATTCTACACTTTATAGTGTGCCAAATACATTTTTACACCCCACCACCTTTGTTATAAACGTCTCAGACTCACATTCCATGACATTCATCATTTTCCTGTATTTAGGATTGTGCAGAGAGAAGAATCATATTTGCACATATTTAAGAGGAGGAGTTTAAGTGCGCTCAGTTTCACGTTCTTTGGGATGCATGAATAAAAAGTGCACAAAAACACGCTGATGCACAGTTTGATAAATCTGAATAATTCTGTCTGCTCAGTTTTCACATTTAGTCCCTACACCAACTTTCAGGATGAAAGCTGTGCACTCTTTGATCCATAACTGGACTTTTATTTCCCAGCTCCCAGCCGGTGTCTCAAACGTCCTCAGAAAGTTTGATCTGGAAGCTCCWGTCTGGTTTTTGAAGCTTTCTCTGATAGCAGTCCTCCCTCTCAAACAAGTTCCATTAAAGATTTCTCTTAAGAACTTTACAAGTCTATTTATTTATTTATTTATATATTTTTTCTAGTTCTGCTTCCACCTTTTTCAAGTGGACCAAAGCTTCAACTTGAGGTGGAGCTTCTCATCTCATGATCTTTTTGCTGGAGGAGCTGTTTGGCTGATCAGTTTTCTCTGGCCTCCTGTCCTCTRCATCATATAACTTTATTGATTTGACGCAGCGTGTCCCACCCTCTCAGTCTGGAGTCTGGCTTGGCTGAAGAAGAGTGACTTGTTTCACCTTCTTCTCATCTGAGGAGCACACAGAACTGAGGGATCTTTGATTTTTTTCATCTCATCTTTTTGTGCTCTCTCTCTCTCTCTCTCCTTGTTTTCTCTGTGGAGGTCGTCCATTGGAGCTTTATTTAGCGATGAACAGCTTCTGCTCCAGGCCTTTCTCATCAAGATTCATATCATTTTTCCAAGCTGCTTTCTCTTTTCTGACCCCAATTTTGGCCAATAACTTCAACTTTCCTTCTGTTTTCTTCATTTGTTCCTACATTTTTCTCCTCTCCGTGCCTGTTCTTTCTTTCCCTCTTTTTTTCTTTTTGGAGGTTTTCTGCCCGGTTGATGGACAGCTTCTCCTTCAGGGCTTTATTTTCTCTGAGAATCTGAGTATTTCCACACAGCTCTCGCTTTCATGAATGTGATGTTTTCTGATGACTTCAACTTTCCCTCATCCATTTCTTCTGTGCCTCAGCTGCCAGCTCGAAGAGGTCTTTCTCATAATCATTACATTGTTGTAGTTAAACACATAAATCAATATTTATATCACAAAGGAGACGTTTCCTTACTGAAAGTAAAATTAAAAAGTAAAACAGCATTTATGATGACTTCAGCTAACTTTTGTGTTTCTTTTTGACTGAACATGAAAATCTGATGTGAAAAAAATGTCAGCATGTACATTTATCAGAGATTTTACATCCTTCAAGTAATCCATTGCACACGTTGATGGTAAAAAATGCAAACATGTCTCAGACTCATTTTGTCATTTTTTTGTTTGTTTACTTTTTGATGATTTTTGTTGTGTGGACTGTGTTCGTTCTGCAGCTTTTTGAGTGGCATGGGCGGAGCCATCTCTACTCACCTGTTCTTGATCCAGCAGTAACGAGGCTCCTGTGAGACAGCCATTCTGTTGACTTTGGTAAACAGACACCTTTCTAAACTTCTGAGCTCTTTAAGTAGCCGTGTGCTTTCTTTGTGTTTTCAACACTTTTACCTGTGTCTTGGATTTACCAGATACCTAMCTGTTGGAAACCCTCACCTCTACGGCCTGCTCGAGCCTCTTTGTTGGATCTTATAGTGCAAGATGAGGACCAAAATTAAGGCAACCAATTCAAAAATGTTTGTGTCTATTAAAGTAGGTGAGCAGCCTAGGCATGCTAGTCGCTAACCACTCCAGTGCTAATGCCAGCTTATCTATGCTAGTTGCTAGCCTCTCCAATGCTAATGCCAGCCTAAACATGCTTTTTTTTTTTTTTTTACTTTTTTTTTCTTGGGATGGCCTCCCTTCTCCCCTTATAGCCATCCTCTCCACACCATTATGTTTTTTTGTGAAGAGAAAATAGAGAGAGAGAAAAACAGAGAGAGAAGTAATTAGAAAGATAGAAAGACTGAAATAGCGATTAGGAGTATATTAAATATACACCAACAAAACACAGGACCACACACCCAACATATGTCCACTCACCTGAAAAGTAAATGGATAAATACATAGAAGGCATATATAAAAATATACACATACCCATACATATATAAAGATATACAAACATACATGCCTACATTCATAAATATTGTCMGTATATACACACATAGACATATATACACACTCAGTGACCAGTCAGAACCCCCCGGATCAGAACACCTGTCTGTGAGCGGTTGTGAACATGCGTGTGTATACAAGATTTCTCCAATGGAATATTTAATAGTGACTGTGGAGGACCGAGACCCAACCCCCAAGACACGAGGCAGACATAGGGAAGACCAGAGCCCAAGGGCCCGAGAGGGATCCCGAGCGCAGAGCCCCAAGGGGCACCCGCACGGGAAGATCCGCCCACCCACCCCCCAGATCAGACCATAGGGGARAACTGGGAGAGTCCCCCCAGTGACCACACGCACAGCCCCCGGGGCCAGCAGCGACAAACTCCTGGGCCCCACCGGCACCCGCCATACCAAAGCAGATCCAGGAAAGGGAACAGAGGTCCGGGCCCCCAGGGCGCACYCCCTCCAGGCCAAAGCCCGACAGGCCCAGAGGGCCCGAGCCCCAACAGGCAGTCACCAGGCCAGGCCGGCACACACCCCAGCGCCCATCCCCAGACCCTGGGAACCCCCAGCACGTCGGCGGCCAGCCGCACACCCCACCGGGGGCCGAGTAGCAGCGGGCCCCCAGATAAACAAGCAGTAGGGGCAGCCCAGACCGCAGCCTGACAAATACCCAAACATACACAATCGCACCATCCCACCCTCATCCTCACCCCCACTCAGTCAAAGACATACAAGGACGCCACATTCCACTCATACCCCCGATACACACTCTATACCCCCCAGGTCCAGGACACGTACCCACCCCCTAATGGAGGCCGCACACACCTGAACCCAGGAGGTAGACCCAATCATTCTGAGGTGGAGAGGAGCAGATAGCCAAGGCCCGGCCCGGGCCGCACCAGGACGCACCAGGACGCCTAAACATGCTAGTCCCTAGCCTCTTAAGTTCAAGTTTATTTATATAGCGCCAAGTTACAATGTTGTCTCAGGGCACTGTACATGAACGAAGAACAATCTAAAGAAGAAACCAGCAGGCTGCTTGAATCACTTCATCACAGTCTCCCATCCTGAGCGAACTGTGCAGAGGAAAAACTCCCTGCTAAKCAGGAAGAAAACTCCAGCAGAACCAGGCTCAGGACAAGCGGCCATCTGCCTCTCCAATGCTAATGCTAGTTTATCCATGTTAGTCCCTAGCCTCTCCAGTACTAATGCCAGCTTATCCATGCTAGTCGCTAGCCTTTCCAATGCTAATGCCAGCTTAACCATGCTAGTCACTAGCCTCACCGAAGCTAACGCAAATGAATAGTCTCCTCATTTTCCAGGGGCATCTATGTTACCAGTGCCAGCTGCTGGCCTATCATTAATCAGATCAATAGCTAAGCAAAAGGCTTAGGAATAGATGTAGCCTTCTGCTACAAAGATGTAGCAACTGCTGGTTTAGTATTAGTCTTAAATTTGGCCCTCGTACCACGCCATAGGATCTAGCCTCTATCCTGCCACTCTCYTACACCTCATCAACAATAATATACCTCAACTCAGCTTACCTCCTGGAATTACTTACCTTCCTTTACAAGCCAGCCTCTCCTGCAATGACTGTAAGACACAAAGACACTGTTATTCTAAAAGTAATTTCTGCTATCTAAATCCTCATTGACTGACTCTTAATCTCCCTATAGATCCCACCCGAGCCCAAACAACACTATGATTAAAATCACTTTTACCTATAGTCCTGTGTGAACTCTCTCTTGTTTGACTCATTAGTAAACTTGATAGATTCTCTTTATGAAAACTGGATGTCTGATGGTCACATTTAAGAAATGAGGATTCAAATACAGACACAAAAGCAGAAAACCTGAAACTGAAAAAATCAACAAGTGAAAAAAAAAAATAGACCTGAAATGTGAACGTGATGAGATACCAAGATCACAGTTCTTACAATGCAGCTCTGAACTTTCCATACAGAGGGAGACACTGACAGGAGCTGGTGGGATGATTACAAACCTTAACCAGGTATGACAATGGTGCAAAAAAAGCAGAACTAATTTAGAACAGACACTCTAAAGTAAAACAGGAAGTTAAGGTGACAACATAAAGCAGAACTAAAAACCAAAAGATACAACATAACCCTAAAAACCAAGGCAGAACTTCCTCTCACCCCCAAAGAAAAATGTCTAAATGAACTCAGTAAAGTCCAGGGAGGCCTGGAACCACATACACTTTCTTCTTCAGACATTCATATAATGCTGTTTAATCTATAAATGCACTGAGTGTGTCTTTTTTAAATGCTCACGGACACTTTGATGCATGAGGAGAAACTTCAACTGGGAAGGTGACCACAGGGTGGAAATTATAAAATGACCAGATATTAGGAAAAAACTCATGCTACTTCAGGTTACTTGTGATGCATGTTAAAAAAAACACATCACAGCAGACAGTAGTGAAATGTAGTGTGAACTCAGTTTTAGTGTATTCAACTTGCTCAGCCAAATGATCTGCGTTTATGCGTGGATCAAACCCTCTTACGCCTCTGGCAATTACATATTGAGCAGGAGCTAAAGAGACCTGGTAAATGTAGGTATAAGCACTGCAAATGGTCACGGTGCCAGCAGTGGGAAAACAAAAACAACCTTAAGGCAGTGTGAAGTAGTCACCTGCAGTCCAAAGCACTTTATTTTAATCAGCTAAGTTCCAACACGGCACACTTGAGTGGACACCAGAGTGGTCATATAATCCCCCCAGCAGGTTCTGGGTTTCCCCTGGGTCTCTCTCCAGTGAGATGTGCTTAGAAAACCTCCAGAAGAGAGCACCAAGGAGGCATTCTAATGAGAAGCTCAAAGATACTGACTCCTTTCAATGTGGTCAACGTGGACGAGCAATGGGCCTCATGCAAGAACCGTTCGTACGCACAGATTTGTTCTTAAGTTGTGCGTACGAGTGATTTAGGAGAATTTGTGGCATTCACCAATGT